GAACTACCTAGTCCATGCCGCGTGTAGCCACGCGGCACGGAGTCCGCACTAGCGGACATTTAAAAATGGCGGCGCCCGGCTTTATGCAAATGAAGCCCGGGAAATTCAAATCCCGGGCTTCATTTGCAACTCCGGTTGCCTACATTACCACCCTAGTTCGAACTAGGGTGGTAGTGTCGACATACCCTGTTTCTTCAGCTAGCTGCTAGCTAGCAAAAAATCTCCTAAAAGATTTTTTTTTAAATTTCATCTAGTCTAAGGTCATGAGAAGACTATTCATCTCTTGGGTTCATAGTAAGTTTTCATGGGTGAATGGGTAGTGCTCAAAAATCCCATCTTTATTTCCTAATATTTGCTGTGATTCATTCTTTATCAGATGACCGTGCAGCAAAAGGCTGTCTATTAGACCTCAAAACCATCAAAGTGTTCTAGCTTCAGCAGTACTGAAGTTTGAGCATGTACAACATGGAAAAAAAAAACCCCTCCATTTATATTCCCTGGCACATGCCATTTGCTAAACTTACCACTTTTTCCTTAGAACGCAGAACACCAAGTTTCCCAAATCGGACATGGAAAGGAGAACACTGATATGTACCATTCTGCTGCCGAACCACAATTACATCGATGCATCCTGAAAGAGTGGCCTGGTTAATGCCTTTATATAGCTCTTTCACAGTAACCAAAACTTGTCCTGCAAGCTGTCCCACGTAATTCATAGTCTGAGACTAGGAGAAAAAAGAAAAAATTATGAAGTCAGATTTGTTTCAAATTTAATCTTGCAGTGTCATTTAGTTGTCAGAATGTCTTTTTACTATAACCCACATGATTAACACAAGTCTTTTACAGACACTGGATTGAACTTTGAATTCCTCCTCCAAAATAGAATGACAGTTTTCACATAGATATCAAAATGAGGCTATATTAAAAATAAATTAAACTAGCATATGAAAAGCTGCTTTAAAATAGGGATGTGTTAGTATACATATTTACAACCTTCACAGTTACACACAAGGCTCACTCCTCCCCTCCCCCAAATCAGAGGCAGCAGCTTGGAGAGGTGGGAGAGGGAGAGCAGGTAGGAGCTGGTGCTCATGGGGAGCCTGCATTGCTGTCTCCGTATTAGCAGCAGCCGGGCAGGAGCAAGGAGAGAAGCAGGTGAGACCTGGTGCTCATCAGGAGCTGGCTCTCCACAAGCACCAACTTTGCTGCCTCTGGTACAGGCTGAGTTGGAGGGTGCTCGGAGGGAGCTGGCCTAAAAGCTGGTTCCCTGCAAACACTATGAGGGAGCAGGAAAGAGGCTGGCTTAAAAAGCCAACTTCCCGTGTGCTCCTGAAGAGTTGGGCCCCTGCGTGTAATTGTGTAATGGCTGAAATTTTCATGTTTACAAAAAACAAAAACAACCTCCCCCCCCCCACACCACACTCTTTAGCATCCTTACTTCATAAGACATTCAAACTGCTAGTGTATTTATATTTTTTTCAATTTTGAAGGCCTACATTCAAGCCTGGCTTAGCTTCTCAATGGAACCTAAAGTGGCTGTTTCACTCTCAGAAGACTGACTACATGAAAACCTTTATATTTTAATACAATTGGTCAGATAATCCTTATTCAAGACAACAATGTTTCAGATCAGTACCACAATATACTGACAGAACTCTATGGAGAAACTTCTGGAGCCTCCACTATGTCTGGCTCTTCCTTCATTTTCATCACACTAATTTATCAACAGAAGTTAAACATAATTATTACACTATAGAAATTACTTAAATTCAGTGACTTACTTGAAGACAAAGTGATGTAGAACAAAAGTGGAACAAAACCAAGGAAGACAGATAAATATAGTCTTCTTCATAAACAATTTCCTTCTGAAGCAGGAGCTGAATGATAATTTGTGATAGAAATGTAGCCGTGTTAGTCTGGGGTAGTTGAAGCAAAATGCAGGACAATGTAGCACTTTAAAGACTAACAAGATGGTTTATTAGATGATGAGCTTTCGTGGGCCAGACCCACTTCCTCAGATCAAATAGTGGAAGAAAGTAGTCACAACCATATATACCAAAGGATACAATTTAAAAAAATGAACAAATATGAAAAGGACAAATCACATTGCAGAACAGAAGGGGGATGCGGGGGGGTGGGAAGGGGGAGGAAGGAAGGTAAGTGTCTGTGAATTGCTGATATTAAAGGTAGGGAGAGTGGGATGTTTGTGAGTTAATGGTATTACAGGTGATAATTGGGGAAACTGTCTTGGTAATGGGTGAGAAAGTTCAAAGACTTGTTAAGTCCTTGTTGGTAAGTGTCGAATTTTAACATGAATGACAGTTCAGAGGATTCCCTTTCAAGTGCAGATGTAAAAGGTCTTTGTAGCAGAATGCAGGTGGCTAAGTCATTTAGAGAGTGTCCTTTCTGGTTAAAGTGGCAAGAAACTGTTTTCTCTTTGTGATCTTGTCTGATATCTGTTTTGTGGGCATTAATCCTTTGGCGAAGTGTCTGAGATGTTTGTCCAATGTACATAGCAGACGGACACTTTCGGCACATGATAGCGTAGATTATATTTCTGGATGCGCAGGAATATGTGTTCTTGATCTTATAACTCACTTGGTTAGGTCCAATAATGGTATCAGCAGAATGAATATGTGGACAAAGCTGGCAACGGGGTTTGTTGCAAGGGAAGGTACCAGGGTTGGTATTAGTGTGGTATGTCCTGTGGTGGTTGGTAAGAATCATCTTGAGGTTAGGTGGTTGTCTATAGGAGACTATGGGTCTGTCTCCCAGAGCCTCTTTGAGTATGGTATCCTGTTCCAATATAGGCTGTAGTTTATTGATAATGTGTTGGACAGGTTTAAGTTGGGGGTTGTAGGTGATGACAAGTGGTGTTCTATTGTTGGTTTTCTTGGGTCTGTCTTGAAGTAGATGGTTTCTAGGTATTCGTCTGGCTCTTTCAATTTGCTTTTTTGTTTCTCTGGGTGGGTAGTTGAGATTTATAAATGCTTGGTAGAGATCCTGAAGCTTCTGGTCTCTGTCAGTGGGGTTAGAGCAGATGCGGTTGTATCGAAGGGCTTGGCTATAGACGATGGATCGTGTGGTGTGTTCTGGATGGGAGCTGGATGCATGTAGGTAACTGTATGAGTCAGTGGGTTTTCTGTAGAGAGTGGTGTCTAATTTTCCATTGTTGATTTGTACGGTGGTGTCCAGGAAGTGGATCTCTCGTGTAGAATGGTCCAGGCTGAGGTTGATGGTGGGGTGTAGGTTGTTGAAATCTCTGTGGAATATCTCCAGTGTTTCTTGGCCATGTGTCCAGATCATAAAGATGTCATCGATGTACCGTAGGTAGAGGAGGGGTGAAAGGGGACGGGAGTTGAGGAAACGTTGTTCTAGGTCAGCCATAAAGATGTTAGCATACTGTGGGGCCATGCGTGTACCCATGGCTGTGCCGCTGATCTGGAGGTATAAGTTGTTCTCAAACCGGAAATAATTGTGGGTGAGAACAAAGTTACATAGGTCTGCTATCAGGTTGGCAGTAGTGTCCTCTGGGATAGTGTTTCTAATTGCTTGTAATCCGTCTTCATGTGGGATGTTGGTATATAGAGCTTCTACATCCATGGTGGCAAGGATGGTATTATTGGGGAGGTTATCGATGTTTTGTAGTTTCCTTAGGAAGTCAGTAGTGTCTCGGAGATAGCTGGGGGTATTGGTTACGAAGGGTTTGAGAAGAGTGTCTACATAGCTGGATAGACCCGTAGTGAGCGTGCCAATACCAGAGATGATGGGACGTCCGGGGTGCCCAGGTTTATGGATCTTGGGAAGTAGATAGAACAATCCTGGTCGGGGGTCAGAAGGTGATTCTGTGAGGATTTGTTCCCGAGTAGCTGTGGGGAGGCTTTTAAGGAGACAGTGTAGTTTCTTTTGGTAGTCCAAGGTGGGATCAGAGGGGAGAGGTTTGTAAAATGTGGTGTTCGAGAGTTGTCTGGTTGCCTCCTGGTTATAGTCGGCCTTATTCATAATGACCACAGCACCCCCTTTGTCAGCTGGTTTGATTACAATGTCCAGGTTGTTTTTGAGACTCTGGATGGCATGGTGTTCAGCGCGGCTAAGATTGTGTGTCGCTTGTTGTCGTTTGCGAATAATGTCAGTCTGTGCGTTGTTGCGGAAGCTGTGTATATAGAAATCCAGATTGTAATTCCGACCGTCAGGGGGAGTCCATATAGAATTATTTTTCCTTTGGTGTTGGTAGGGGGGATCTGGTAGGTCAGATTGATGTTCAGTGGTGGTTTGGAAATATTCTCGGAGACGGAGGCGGCGAAAAAAAGCCTCAAGGTCACCACAAAATTGTATCCAGTTTGTGGGGGACGTGGGGCAGAAAGAGAGACCCCGGGACAAGACAGACTCTTCTGCTGGATTGAGTTTGTAGCTGGAGAGGTTAATAATATTATCCGGTGGGTTGAGGCAGTTGCTGTTGTAGCCAGTGGAACGGAGCAGGTTAGAAAATTTATTGTCTTTTCTTTGTTGTAGGGAATAATTTGCTAGTAATGTCACCGCCTATGTGGTGCTAAGACTTCTAACAATATTCAAATTTTCAAACCCTTTTCAGAGCTTTTAGGAAAAGTGATGGCATTCATCTGCATCAGCAACCACAAAATGCAATAAGAAAGATTTCTTCCTGAAATAAAGGGATAAGTAGTACCACTTTCAGGAATTTTACACAGATGCCTCAACTCAGTTTTTGCAGTGAAAAAAGTTACAAAAGACCAGGCACTGTAGCTAGAAGTGACAACATATGTCTGACATTTGAAAATTGCTTTTTCAAGATAATGTATCTTAATTAAAAATAATTGAGGATATAACATGCTCAGGAAAAAAAATCAACATTCAGCTACCTACATTACAGAAGGCTTGAAAAACCCACTCACCAGGGACAAGTGGGCAACATTTTCTGGTGACTGCTCTCAACTTCTACAGAAGCAAAGCTTTTATTTAAAAAATGAATTTCTATCTCTGAAGCTTATGAAGATAGCCTTTAATACATGAAAAGTGTCAACAGATACACTACTACCCTCCTAAATCTGCAGAAAAACACCAATCCTCAGCGACTTTCCAAAGCTTTCACAAAATTTCAGCCCAATAAAAAACAGCCTTACTCTATTTTCACTGTTTTCATTGAGAATCCTGTTGGCAGCAGTAAAACTAACAATAACAACAGGTGGAGTGGATGAAGAAATATTATTAGACTTGGAAGAAGAAATAGGCAGAATGAAAGAGAGGAAGAGAAGAATATCTGCAGACATATTGACAAGCTAAAGATTCACTATAATCTAACATAGGAAAGAAAAAAGAATGACACTAAAATGGCAGATAATGTACAAAAAGTGTAATTAAAGTTGAGTAGTTCAAATATAATTGTAAATTCATAAAGTAATACTAGAAAGTTCTTTGGTGTTAGTTTGAACAAGTAAAATTATTGCAGTTTACGAATATAGCATTGAGCTCCCTGAAGGAACAAAGCTTCCCCTCCCCATCCTTCAAGCAGAATCTTTGAGATGTTTCATAGGAGAGCAAGATTGCAAAGGTAGTTATACAGCTTGTACTGCAAAAAACCTGCAGATTAATTACAACTGTATTAAATTGGCTACATAATTCTTACATGCAACGTTGACCTTATTCCAGAACAAAAAAACCACTGCAGCCAAGCACGGCACTGAACAGATTCTGACCAGTTGTGAACACAAAAAAGATCTGTACCTTGAACTTGTTGCTGCCTGACAACACAACTTCAGTATTTCATTGTTTATTTTGCTCTAGTCTATTACTCAAGACCAATTTCAACAAACTTCCTGGGTCCATATATTAGTCTACCTTCATTAGTATCTATGAATCTGAACTCTCCTGCAGATTCGAGAGTGAGATCAAGGGTTTTCTTAGAGAATCTAATCAAGAGACTATATACTGGAAAAATTCTTCCCAGTTGCTTTTCTGATGAGATTGCTCCAATGTCTGTCAAATCATCTTTGTTATATTCATTATTTTTGTTCAGAGCTTTCATTATCATACTAGCAGTAGACTAAGTCACAGTAATTTAAATTAAATTTATTCTTGTAGAATCCAATAGTGCTGATATAAGTTAAGAGGATGTGTCAATAATTCTCCAAATCCCTCCTTTAACTCACCTCTGCAAGAGTCTTCCCTAGTTAAATGTGACATATAACATCACTTATTTAAATTAATGTTTTAAATATGAAAGAGCTTGCTCTCGCTCTCTCAGATATATTAGATAAATTAGATATAATTTTTTTTCTGGAGGATGACAGAGTGATATAATTATGTTACTCTGCACCACCCCAGCCTCCACAGAGTCAGAAGGGGCAGCCATGGCTCAGGGTTCCCCCAGCCTCTCCTCAGAGGATGCCTTGGGCTCCCTGTTGGCCCCCGGCTCCCCAGTAGGTGTGCCAGGCGCCCACCCCCCCATCTTCCCCTCTGGTCTCTGCCCGGTGCGCGTTCGGGGCTCTGCCCCCAAGTGCGGGTCACACCCCCCCCACCGGGGTGCTTTCCCGCGTGCCAGGTCAGGTCCCGCCTCTCCCCCCACGGGCCTGCCGCCACGGCCTTGTCCGGGCTCCCCTGTGCCCCGTCCCCAGCAGCTGGGGACCGGCCCCGCCAGTTCTGGCCGCGGCGCCCATTCCCTCGCCCGGGGGATTAACCCTCCCCCCAGGGCCAGTGCGGACCCCGCCGGGTCCGTCACATAGGTGTTAAAAGGTGTTCAAAGAATCTTTTCTTTCTTAAGCCATTAACGGTTTCGGAGGGGTAGCTGTGTGAGTCTGTAGCTGAAAAGAACAATGAATAGTATTAAGGTACTGCAGGACTTATTTGCAAGCTCTTTGAAACATGCAAATGTCTACAAACCCTAAAGCCATGTGTTAACTTGTTTTGGGGCTTCTACTTTCCTCCAGTGGAAGAAAGCTAATTCCCTACCTTTGTACAGCACCTTTGTAGTCAGTAAGGCAGTGGTCCCCAATGCGGTGCCCGCGGGCGCCATGGCACCCACCAGGCCATTTCTGTGCACCCGCTGAGTGAACCGGGCTGGCCCCTCCCCCCCAGGCGCAAGGGCGGTGCCGGCCCCCTGGGCGCACAGCGTATGGGCAGCGTCAGTCCCGGTGCGCAGCATATGGGCAGCCCCGGCCCCAGATGCGCAGCATTTGGGTGGTCCTGCCCCCAGCTGCGCGGTGCAAGGACTGTGCTGGCCCCAGGTGCGTGGCATATGGGTGGCCCCGCCCCCAGGCATGTGCACAGCCCCGGGTGCATGTGTGGCCTCGCCCCGGGTGCCCGGCATGTGAATAGCCCCGCCCCCGGGCACCCAGCAGCCTCAAAAGGTTGGGGGACCACTGCAGTAAGGGTACCTCACAGCAACTAGTCACAGGAGTCTTGTCTTAATGTATTTTATTCCACACATTGTTCATTAAAATGCTGTTAAATGGGTAGAAATTGGGTAAAGATTGTGTTTTATTAATATCAGCAGAACTGACTTAAATGGAGCCTGCATGTTGTGTAGTCTTGCCTTAACAGTATTCATGCCCATCAGTGTGAAAGAATCTATTTGCAAATATATTTGCATATACATGCAAACACACTTTAGTTGTGGCCCTCAGCATGTGCTGCGAGTATCATTGTGGCCCCCGGGGCTTCCAAAGTTGAGTAGCCCTGCTGTAACTGGAACATGAAAACTTCATTGCTTTAATGAAGTACAGGCAGTCCCCGGGTTACGTACAAGATAGGGACTGTAGGTTTGTTCTTAAGTTGAATTTGTATGTAAGTCGGAACTGGTACATATTGTAGGGGAAACTCTAGCCAAACATTTCTCCAGAGCTCAGTTTTATTCTCCCACACCTCACTTCCCTCAGTCCTTTATTCTCAAGCTGAGGTGTCTGCTGAGAAAAGCCGCTCCGCGTCTCCCTGGTCTGCTGGGGGGGGAGAGGGCGCTAGCTTCGTGTCTCCCTGGTCTGCTGGGGGGAAGCAGCTAGTGTGGGGTTGTCTCACCCCGTTTGTAAGCAGGGATCCGATGTAAGTCGGATCCATGTAACCCGGGGACTGCCTGTATTCTAAAGAAAGAAATATTTACTAGCTTTTCTACTTTGCGTATAAAATCCTTCTAGCTGATCAAGGAGCATTTTCATATGACTGCTCAACATTTCAGGAGAACAAAATCCACATGCAGCTTCAGCCATTTTCTCCTCAGCCAAGAAGTTCGAAAAGTTCTTAAAACTGAGGAGGTTAGACACGCCCACCATCTATCATAACTTAACTACTACAGTGATTGGTGTTTTAGAAATGTTTAGATACAAAAAGGAACAATTCTGGTCCACTTGAAGACTAGGGATGTAAAAATGGGGTTAAAAACGTAACCATGTAACTGCTAAAAGCCATAGCAGTTACACGCGCTGCAGGCTCTGCAGTATAAAACTTAAATAAGCTTTATAGCACAGAGCATGCTGTGAAGCTACCTTCCTGGGGAGTAGGACTAGCTGGGGCTGCTGCCAGTGCATAACCTGCAGTAGAGGGAAGGGTGGCTAGGTTCCATCACAGTCTGGGGTCGCTCCAGAAGGCCCAGTGGGTCTGGAGCAGCCCCCCCGCCGGTTAATCTTTTACATCTCTACTGAAGACAGAAAGGGATGACATTTTATACTGCTCTCAAGCATCCAGCTGATTTAAGATGCAGTTTTCAATGGATCCAAAAGAAGCTGCTTCCTACTTCAGGGGGAGAAGAGGAAGAAACATTTACCAGAAAACAGGACTTTGAAGAGGTAATGTTTTAAGGGGGACAAATGCAGCAAAACAGAATTATGGAGACCAACATACAGCTACAATAAAAGAAGCTTGCAGAATCTCTACTAGAAATAAGCATTTTTGCTACCTTGCTGTAGCAACAGCAGCAGAGTTAGGTTTAAAAAACAGCAGATATATCTGAAGGCCGTGAAGAACCTATCAGACTTTAAAGCCTTAAATAACTATTTGTTACATAGGAAATATCTAGAGTTTTTTTTAAATAAGCTGAAAATGAGGTACTTAAATTTCAAGTTAAAAAAAAAAGAAAGCTGCTGCTGTACCTACTCCTAGGAAGGCTTCGTTGAGGGCTCTGCAGCTGGTTCTTGCCTGTCCTATTTCTGGGGAGTCAGAATGTAACGTGTGGGGGTGGCCTGACATGGACAGGGAGTGCTCTGGTGGGCCCCCACCAGGTAACTGGAACCAGTAAGCCTCACCCAACAAGAGTGAGGCTTACTAGTTAACCAGTTTACTTTTCACATCCCTAGTTTCTAGTGGAGGTGCACATCCTCACATATCTTGGTGCACATTAACTTTTTCCATCCATGTGCAGAATAAATTTTGAGAGCACGTTGGTTCTGACCAGAGTTTTAGAAATGATACACAGAAACTTTTGAAGTAATGTTTCCCCTCTTATTGTCAGGCTTAAATGGTTAAAAATCACACAATGTCTGGACCGCAGACTAAAAAGAAAAACTGTGGTCTCCTCTTTATCGTCTTTGGAACCACCTAAAAGCAGGCTAGCTTACATGGCTGGTATAAAAGATGAAAATAGTCTGCTAGCTTAATTAATCTAACAGTGTTTTAAAAAAAATACATTTTAGCTTTCATTTGTCCCTGGGACTCAGAACATGCATGCTGCCTGACCTGACTTCAGTAAAAAACAAAAGTTAATTTTTACTGAACAATGCTGCTGAGTTAACAGCAGATTTTAAAGGCCCAGCGATACTGAGGGCTCCACTGCAAAAGGGAACTTCTTGTAACTTTTAATGCTCCAGAGGTCTTGTGTTTTGAACATCTAAGTTATAAGCTTACGTTTGTAAGAGCCCCCTTAATTGAAAATATTCAAATATTGGTGGAGCATCCTGTGCCTCTAACTAGGAGGGAAAACACCCTGCATTTGCAATAACCCAATACAGGGAATGTAAAAATTGCAACTGCCTGCTCTATCTTTTAAGATAAAGTTTAACAGTAAATTCAGAACAAGGGGAAAAAGTACTCACTCTGAAAATGAAGCCACATGTTTATGAAACTAAAAATAACTATGAGCTATGCAACATAAAAGACACTTAATCCAATACTGACTACATTAAACTCTCCCCACCCTTAAATGAAGTAGATTTTACAGTTTGAGGAACAGAGGCTTATAGAATACAACTTAGGCATTTTCAGCTCAGACAGTTCACATGAAATTTTTAACACACTTCAGCAGTGAACTCTGAAATTCAGGAAATTCTAAACTAAGACAGATATGGTCCCTGCCTCAAAACTGACAAAGCATATAACACAGTGGTCCCCAACACGGTGCCCGCGGGCGCCATGGCACTCGCGGGGGCATTTGTGTGCGCCTGCCAAGTGCTCGGGGATGGCCTGGCCCCGGGAACGTGGCACATGCACGGTGAGCGCCGGCTCCGGGAGCGCCGCAGATTGGCTGTGCTCTGGGCGCGCGCTGCTTGGGGGGGCCCCCGCCCCCAGGCGCGCAAGTGTCCCTGCCCTCTGGTGCCCGGTGGGCAAACGGCGACGCCCCCTGGCGCCCGGCAACCTCTAGTGGTTGGGGACCACTGATATAACATCTCACCCCCACCCCCATATACTTTTTTCCTGCCGCCAGTGTTCCCTCTAAACTGCTGGGGCAGCACAGCTTCACAGGTGATTAATCAGTCCTACCCAGTCAGAGGCTCAGGGATACCAGCACAGAGCTGAATGACTGGGCAAGACTGATTAATCACCTGTGAAGCTGTGCTGCAGCTCATCTTAGGGGGAACACTGGGCACAGCCCCTTAGTATTTTTTGAGTACTGCAAAAGTAATACAATTTACATTAATATGCGTTGTTCATAGTTCAGGAACTTTTAATAGAACATCTGTATGCAAGCATGTGACACAGCTAGAACAGCACCTATATGAAGAGAAAGAATTTCCTGGGAATTTCCAATACCACAATGGAAAAACAGTCTTCATTTTTAAAACCTAGCTCACAGTCCTATGCTGTGTCTAGACTGCATCCCTTTTTCGTAATCCCCGCAAATGAAGCGGGGATTTAAATCCCCCCTGCTTCATAAGCATAAAAATGGCTGCCGCTTTTTTCCGGCTCGGAGCTTTGCCGGAAAAAAGCACCAGTCTAGACGTGGATCTTTCAGAAAATAGAGCCTCAGGGATAAGGGATCTTTCGGAAAAGGCTTTATTTTCCGAAAGATCCGCGTCTAGACTGGCGCTTTTTTCCAGCAAATCTAGAACCCCCCCCCCCAGCCATTTTTATGCTTATGAA